TTAGTATTTTGATGTACTAAGACCGATTTTAAGTTTCATATTTTACCTTTGCAAAAACTTTAATTAAATATGTCATTTTTAAATAAAGAAATAATCCTAGTTACCTCCCCGCTAAAGAAGTTAAACTCTATGTCAAAAAACAAAAAGTTTCTTTTTCTAGTTGTCACATTAAAAAGGCATAACATGGGGAGAGGGGATAGCTCAGTGGTACAGTGCATGCTTAGCATGCACAAGGTCCTGGGTTCAATCCCCAGTGCCTCCATTAAAATCAATGAATAAGATAAAAAGGCAAAAATGAAGCCAGTGAAATTGATTATAATCATTTTTATTTAGCCCAATCTATCCAAAATATTATCATTTCAGCAAGTATTCAGTATAAAAAGTCAATGATATGTCATTTCACATAAGCCTTCGGATTCCAGCGTGCACTTGACACTGATGGCGCATCTGGATTAGGACCTGTCACATTTCGAGGGCTCAAATGCCACATGTGGCGAGGGGCTACCCTTTCAGCCAGTGCAGGTCTACATAGTTCATCTTTATGAACCCATGGAACCCTCACATTCTGTTCCCATTTCAGAGAGGGGGAAACTGAGGCCCAGAAAGGTGAAGAAATTACTCAAAGAGCTAGCAATGGACTCAAACTCAGACTGTCTGGTTCCAACATGTGCCCCCTAGACCTCTGTACCTCTCATCCTCAATTCCAACTTGAAGGAACATTGTGGTCAGCTGGCCTAGGTTCAAGTCCTGGCTATGCCACTTACAAGCCAGGTGTCCTGCATGATTTGCTTAATTCCTCTGAAATTCAGATTCTTCATCTGAAGAGGGGAAAGTGGCACCTAAGCCAGAAGGCTGAAGGATGACTTGATAGCCTAAAGCCTGGAGGACACCCCACAGAGAGCCTGGCACCCAGCTGGCTCTGCATATACTAGGGCTCTTCTAGCCACTGTGACTTTACCACTCACCGAATTCATTTGAACAGAGTTCCAAACAAACCACCCAACTCTTGCCCGTAGTGCATTCCTGGAAATGTGTTTGAAGCTGATTTCGCAAAACTCGAACAATGGATTTTAGTGCTGTAAAGGACATTCCATTTACTAAGGACTACACAAATTATGAAACCCTAAATTACTTCTTACCTCTTAGGCGTCATTGTCAAAGATAGAATTGCAATGTTTCATACATGTTATTTTAAAAAGTAATTGGATTTGTCTTAGTGTGTTTTTTGTTGTTGTTCTTTGGTTTTTGTGGGGTTTGGGGGGGTTGGTTCTGATCACAAAAGTGATGAATTCCTGTTGCAAAAAGAATTCAATTGTTAGAGAAACATGCAACGTGGAAAGCAAAGGTGGTGTGGAGATCCGCGTGAAGAATGCACACAAATGCGGCCCAGGGAGGATCCACGAGGCCCCAGCTGTCAAAGCGTCAGGATACAGAGGTTGAAAGAAACAATTAAAACAGCACACAATGCTTTAGTAGCTTTTGCCAAGTCGCCCTCTCCAAAGGTTCTACCAAGGGACGTCCTTTCCAGCCAACAGTTCGGAGATTTCCCGTTTCCCAACACTTCTAATTCTGGGCATTTCCAAATTTCACTTGTTTAAACTGAGGGGAAAACTGACCCTGCGAAAAGCATACACCTGCTCCAGTTGTGTCTATTTCCTCCACAATTACAGAGACAGTCACCCAGCGTAAGCCTCAAAGCATCCAACAGAAGGTTTGGTGATTTGGGCATGAACGTCCCCTCCCTCCACTTTCCCCGCTGCTCTCTAAGCTCCAACCACAGTGGCCTTTAGCTTCCTGCGATAGACCAAGCCCATTTCCACCTCAGGGCCTTTGCATATGCTGCTCCCTCTGCCTTGTGCCTCTTCACCTAGGTAGTTCCTATTCACCCTTCTAAGAGGCCACCTGGAGCAGATTCTTGAACCTGTTTTCCCTTTTGTAATAATATTACCCCCTTGGTGATCAAATGAGATACATAGTTTAAAACATTTGACACTGTATTTCAGAAAGAGTTAAGATTTAAATTCAAGAGGCACCTCCTCCATGACCACCCTACCCAGGTCAGGTTCCCATGTATTATCCTTTCTCATGGATCTCTCGGGTCTTTTTTTTTCTTTTTTCTGTATACCATAAAAATAACTAAATAACTACTTGTAATACCATTGCTTCACCGTTCTCTTTCCCATTAAGACCATGACTCTGGAAAGGCAGAAATAGTGCCCAGCATCATGCCTGCCCCACCGGAGGCACCTGACCCTCAAATTAATGAATGGATGGATCAAATAGGCTCCATCTTTGACTCAATTATACTAAAATGTCAAAGGCTACACTTTTTATCGCTGTTATCAGTACATCTATTTTCTCCTTTCCACACCGTTTTATAAAGACAAAGGATAAAATGCAGTCATGCTCACACCACAGCCACATCTGGCCAGACCAAGATGGCTACACAGCTCCAACAGAACTGTTGGTGGGTAAGTAGCACCCCCATGTGATCGCTGGGAATGTTTGCTTTTCTGTTTATCTACAAATGCCAAAATTCAATACTCAGGCTGTATCCTGGTTTGTCCTTCCGGATTAACCCTCACACTTCTCCCCTCTTCCCCCTGCCCTGCCTCCCCAATCTGTGCCCTGAGAAGCTGATCGCATGACCGGCTCCCTTAGTTTCTTTGCCTTCTATTGCAGCCAGTGAGAGGCTCCAGCAGGAGATTAGAGGGTAGGAGGGGAGAGAGGGCAAAGCCTTTATTTCCTGCTCCCTAAACACAAGGGGCTGGATCTAGTGACTCGATTTTAATATACAGGTTGTGGCAACAGAAGTGATGATGCTGTGTGACTTTCAAGGCTAGGTAATGAAAAGATACAGCTTCCACCTGGCTTTCCTTCTCTTGGCTCATTTGCTCTGGGGAGGCCAGCTGCCAAGTTGGGAGTATCAAGCTCAAGCAGCCCAAGTAGGGAGGAAATGGGGCATCCTGCCAACAGCCAGCACCCACCTGTCAGCCATGTGAGTGAGCCACCTTGGAACAAGCTCATCCAGCCCCAGTCATACTTTCAGATGACTGCAGCCCCAGTCAACAGTTTGACTACAACCTTATAGAGACCCTGAGCCAGAAAGACCAGCAAAGCCATTCCCAGATTCCTGACCCTCAAAAACTATATGAAATACTAATAATGTTTTAAGTCACTGAGTTTTGGGATAATTTGTTATGCAGCAACAGAGAACTACTATACCTGGTAACAACAGTTCGATGCTCCCACGTCTACCTGGAACTCTTCCCCCATATCCTTCAGGTCTCCCCTCCAGTGTTACTTCCTGTAGCTTTCCCTAGACTCCCTTTACCCATCCCTTTGCCTCAGTTCATTTTTCATCCTGGTTCTTATTATCTCCTATCCTATTCCATACTTGTTTCTTGTCTGTCTTCCCCCCTCCCCCCATGAGAATGCTAGTAGCTCTATGAGGGCTGGGATCTTTCTTTTATTCGATGCTGTGTGCACAGTGCCTGGAAAAGTGCCTGGCAGAGTAAGCTCTATGGTGGCCAGGACGATGAGAATCTAGCAGACCTGATTTGTGTCAGGGCAAGATGAGACTCCCACCTGTCTCCTGCCAGCTCTTTGCCCACCCTGACCAAGGGATGGGACATAGCTGTGACCTCCCCTCCATCGGGTAAGTAGTCATTGGCAACTATAACGGGAGAGCTTCTCCACAACCCCTCACCTCCCTCAGGATAAAATCACAGGTCCTCTGTGCAGCCTGCAGGCCCCCATCCCTGCCTGAAATCCCACCTCTCAGCTGCGAAGAACCATGAACTGTTCACATTTGCTCATAGAGGGGTGCATAGACCCCACAAACAAACTTTGGGGTTCAAGTAGAAAACATTGGAACGTGTATATTTTTATTCCCCTTTAGTTTGCTAAGGAGTATCTTTCTGTAGTAAATACAGTACCATAAGATGATCTACAGAATCTACTGGTATGACTGTATGTGTATATAATTTATCAACAAATATCCATCTGGGGGTGGAGCTTCAACATTTTTACTGACAGAGGTGCACATTCAAAACTAATTTTCAGAGTCATTTATCCTAACACAATTTTGTCCCCCAGAGGACATCTGGCACTATCTGAAGACATTTTCAGTTGTCACCACTGGGGCAAGGGTGCCACTGGCATCTAATGGGTTGAGGCCAGGGCTGCTGCTCAACCCTACAACACAGGGCAGGCCCTCACCACACAGAACCATCCAGCCCGAATTGCCAGTAGTGTTGAGGTTGAGACCCCTTGGCCTAAGCGCTGGACTTTCTTGATTCTGGGGTCTTTGCACAGCTAGCTGCTTTCTTCCCCTAGTCCATTTTTCACCTGGCTGAGACCTCAAAATTCCAGAAGTCCTCCAAGAAGTTATCTCTGCCGCCGCCAGGCTGGACCAGAGCCCCGCCTCAGGGTTCCTCCAGCCCCTCTCTCCTACTGGGTTAGAATTGTCCTGGCCCACCCTCTGGGTTCTCAACTTTCCTATTTACAGTGCAAATTCCCCGGAACCCCTAGACAGCCCGATTCTTCAAGACTACTAGGGACCAGGAATCTGTATTTTTAACCAGCACCTCCTCCTTCCCCCCAGCTGCCTGCCCCTTCAAATCTTGCACATAGTAGGTGGCCCAGTGACTAGTTGAGTGTCTTCAGTCAGGGGCTACTGAGTGCTCTACCAGGGGTCTTGAATCCTGGCGCGCACGCACAAATACACACACACACACACAGCCACTACCATCATCCCCATCTTACAGAGGAGTAAACTGAGGTTCAGAGAGGGGACGTAGCCAGAAAAGGGACCCAAAGCGAGGAAGGGGCTCAAGTCCTAATTAGCGCCTGATTCCTGGGGGGAGGGGAGGAGGCAGAGCGATGAACTGGGGGAGCGCGAGCTAGCGGGGGCGCGGAGACTCGCGGCGGCCTTCCAATGCGGCCCCGCCCCCACGAGGGACGTGAAGACGCGGACCCCGCGCAGCGTGGGGACATGTGACCGACTGCAGAGGCCGCGCCGCCTCCCCCGCCCGAGGTCCGCGCGCTCCGCCGCAGGGTGCAGACCCGGGGCGCCCGCCTGGGTTTGGGGCGCAAGAGCAGAGGCGGAGCCGGGGCGGAGCCAGCGCGCCCCGTCCCCCTCTTTCCAATAATCGAAAGCGAAACGGAGGGCCGGAAAGGAAGGGCGGAGCCGGCCCAGAGGCCCCGCCCCCTGCCTTGCGCGGCTGCTGGACCGACGGGCGCGCCCAGGTAGGGGGTCTCCGAGCGCGCAGTGCGGACCCTCGCGGGGACCTGCGCGCCGCCACCATGTCTCAGGAAGGTGTGGAGGTAGGAGATGGCAACAACTGGGCCGGGGACCCGCGAGAGACGCGGGGGAGGAGCCAGGGACGGGGAGGGGGCTTCGCAGTTCCTGGGGACTCCATCTGAAGCCCAGACCTTCCCCCGGGCTGGCACTACCCCCTTCGGAAAGGAGAGTGACGGCCACATCCCCCAGAGCGAAATGCGGCCTCCTCAAGGAAAAGCGGGGTTGCTGGGTCAAGGGTCAGAGGCTAGGGGTTACCTGGCTGGCCTCCTTCCTTAGCCTGGGACGCTCACCTCAGTCCGCTCCCTCCCCCAATGCCCTGTAGGGACTTTGGCTTTTTCCAGGAAATGCAGTAGAGGGATGAGGGGGGAGCGGAGGCCAAAACCGAGGGTCAAGTTCAGGCCGGAAAAAGGATGCCTAAGGATGGGGGAGGGGCAATCCCTCCACTACTTCCCCCGTCGGAGACCACCTGTCCCCACCCCAGCTGGAAAAGAGCGTTCGGCGCCTCCGGGAGAAGTTTCATGGGAAGGTATCCGCCAAGAAGGCGGGGACTCTGATGAGGAAATTTGACAGCGACCACACGGGAGTGGGGCGCTCCATCGTGTACGGTGAGCAGGCATGGGTTCCGGGCCTGGTGGGGGTTCCTCCGGGGAGCGCGGAGGGGGTGTAGTCTGCGCTGAGGGTAGGAAGAGACGATGAGATCATCTTTTTGGGGGGCGGTCTGCATCAGGGCTCTGGGGGCCCTGCAGCTCCCACAAGATCTTTCAAGGGCCCTTCACTTACACTTACTCTCCCCACTAGGGGTGAAGCAGAAAGATGGACAGGAACTGAGTAATGACCTGGATGCCCAGGTAAACTGCCCCCCTCCTCTCAAAGGACGTGGTAAGGGGAGGGAGAACAGAAGGGTCAGGCTTCTCCATGATGAGCCCCTTCTGTGCACTGTCAGTCTACATCTTATGGTCCAGCCTCATTTATTTATTCACCTCTCAGCCATGTGTCCTGCCAGGGAGTCTGCAAACAGCAGGTGCTCATTAGGTGCTGATTGTATTCAATGGAGGAGAGAGACATGAAACTAGGCAATGAAATGAATCATGATTAATGTCATTATAGAGGAGCCATAGAGGTCAGGGAAGGCTTCTTGGAGGAGGCAGCACCAAGTTCTTCAAGACTAGGAAGGAGTGATCCCTGGGGAGGGATGGAGTTGGAAAGGATCTTCCTGGAAATAAGGGTGGCATCAGTGAGGGAACCTGCAGATAGGCTAGGATGAGCCCAAGGTTGGGGAGGGGAGCCCATGTGAATGAATGAATGAATGAAAGGCTTTGTGGCATAGGTACAACACAGCCACTTTGCCCCTTAGATGGTTTTGGTGGCTGGTGCACTGGATTTCTGAAAGACCCAGCATAGTGTTGTGAAAGCATATAATAAAGTATGTCTTATACTCTTAACATTTATATATTTATATTTATACATATAAGTATGATTAAAAAAAATAGCAAAAAGCATCATTGATTGAGCACTTCCCCTGTGGCAGGACTCCAGGAATTTTACCTGTTGACTAAATTCATTTCCACAGTGGCCCCATGAGACAGGTCCTATTATTTATCATGTCCGTTTGCAGACAAAGAAACTGAGACACAGGGTGATGAAGTCATTTGACCAGGTTCATGCAGAACAGAGGTGGTAGCTGGGATTTGAACCCAGGCCACCTACAAGCAGAGCCTGGGCTCTGAGATTAGGGACCCAGGGGGAGTGGCTTGACCATGCCCCCACAGCTGGAAGTGATGGAGCCAGGGTTCCAACCTGTATTTATCTGAATCCAGAGCCTAATCACTTAGCTTAAAGCAGCATGGCTCCAAGAGGTGACCTGTCCCAGCGTCAACAAGTGTGCAGCATTTGCCAGCAGGAAGGGAGCATGGGGTCCAAGCCTGCTCCACCACGCTCACTCAGGGTGATCTCAGTCAAGCCCTCTCCCAGCTCTGGGCCTCAGTTTCCCCATTTGAGCAATGGGGATAAGAAGTTGTGCCCACCTCTCAGGGTAACTATAAGGACAGCTGAGCCCACACATCCTGTCCTTACTAAGTGGATAGTGCTCAATCAGCTCCTCCTGAGTTAGGGACACTCTACTTTCACGTGTGGCCAGAACCCTGCATCCCTGGCCAGAAGCCCCACCCCCAGGAAAGCGGCATGAGCCACATCCCCAGTTTCTGCCCCTGGTGTCTCCACCCAGGACCCTCCGGAGGACATGAAGCAAGACCGGGACATTCAGGTGAGTCCAGGGTGTGAGATATGGAGGTGGAGCAGGGAGGACATCCGTGGGGATGTCCGTATGTGAGGAGGAAATACATTGTAGGGGCAGGAAGGGGAGGGAAGGGCTGACCAAGATTTGTCCCCACCTACCCCATTCTGCAGGCGGTGGCAACCTCTCTGCTGCCACTGACGGAAGCCAATCTACGCATGTTCCAACGTGCCCAGGAAGACCTCATCCCTGCTGTGGACCGGCAGTTTGCCTGCTCCTCCTGTGACCATGTCTGGTGGCGCCGAGTGCCCCAGCGGAAGGAGGTGATAACCCAACCCCTGACCTTGATTCTGTTCCCACGCCACTCCCAACCCCCATCCTCAGGTTCTGAACCTTTGACCTAAGAACATCAGCCTCCAAGAGCCCAGCCCCTGGCCTCCAACCTCAGAGCTCAACCTTGATCTCAGACCACCCCCAACCCTGACCCGGTGAGCTGAACTTCTAAACATGAACTTGAGCAGCTCAACTCTTACCCCAGAGCCTGACCTCTGACTACACAGCTTGACGGCTACCACAGAAGTCAAACCTGATCCCCAAATCTGACTTCCAAACCCCTAACCAGTGGTGTGCTTCTGGCAAATGTTTAGTAACAAGCTCTTGTGCAGCAGGGGTGATCCCAGATATATAGTGTTTGCCAATTTATGAAGTGCAAATCTTCTCACGGTGGCCAACAAGCTATTAGTGCTCACCTCTGACAGCCATCCCGCTCCCTCTCCACACCCCAAGGTGTCGCGATGCAGGAAATGCCGGAAACGCTACGAGCCTGTGCCATGTGACAAGATGTGGGGTGTGGCTGAGTTCCACTGCCCGAAATGTCGGCACAACTTCCGGTGAGGGTGCTGACCAGCCCCTGTTGGCCCTGCCCCACCCCAGCCCTGCCTTTCCCTGCCCTGGCCCCACTCCGGCCCCACTGGACTTTGGACCCTCACGGCCCTGCCCACTCCCAGGGGCTGGGCACAGATGGGGTCCCCGTCCCCCTGCTACGGGTGCGGCTTCCCCGTATATCCGACACGGATCCTCCCTCCGCGCTGGGACCGGGACATGGATCGCCGCAGCACCCACACCCACTCCTGCTCGGCTGAGGACTGCTACAATCGGCGAGGTGAGGACCTGTCGCGTCCCCATGGCCTCCCCCGACCCTGGGCAGTCTACTTGGCCTTGACTCCTCAGATGTCCACGTCTGGGGCTTTAAGGACCAAGGTCTCTGCCTGCCCCTTCCACACACCTCCTAAGGCCTCAGTTCCGGAGACCCTTTTATCTCCCACCACATTGGTCCCTCCTTCCACGTCTTCCGTGGCTCTCCAGTCTCCTTACCTCCAGGTCACTCAGGACCCTGACCCCTCCTTAACACCCACCTCCCACAGCATCAGCCACTTTCCGTGGTCTTGCCCGTAAGGCCCTGTGCTTTCACTCCGGTGGCCCACACCCCAGTGTCCTGTGGCCTCTGCCCCTGTGGTCTGTGTTCTTGGTTCCTTTTTTGTCTTCTATAATCTCAGGTGATGTCCATGTCCCGGGTCTCCTGTGGCTTCAACACCTGTGACTTTCACCTCTGAATTTCCTATAGCTCTGGCCACATAGCCTGTGGCCTCAGCCCCTCCCCTCCCCAGAGCTCCCCATGTTCTCAGCTTCCTTGCCCCCAGAGGCTCATGTAGCATCAAGCCCCAAGACCTCAGACCCTCTCCCTCCCCAGAGCCCCACGTGCCTGGGACGTCCTGTGCACACCCCAAGAGCCGGAAGCAGAACCACCTGCCCAAAGTCCTGCACCCCAGCAACCCCCACATCAGCAGTGGCTCCACTGTGGCCACCTGCTTGAGCCAGGGGGGCCTCGTGGAAGACCTGGACAACCTCATTCTGGAGGACCTGAAGGAGGAGGAGGAGGAAGAGGAGGAGGAGGGCGGGCATGGGGAGTGACCCCAGCCAGGTGCAGATGCAAACCAGACACGGTCTGTGGATATTTTGTGTTGTTATAAAATATGAGCTCAAACCAAGATCTAAGTACCCTTGAGGAGCCATCGGGGTCTGAGATATTGGCAGGGGGATTCCTGGGTCCTGTTTTCAGGGCCCTGGGGAACAGATCTACAACAGGAAGAGGTCTGTGGGACATGGTCCTCACTAAGCTACGAAGGAGATGTGGCCAGGACAACTTTGGCTCTTGCTGACAAACATCCCCTGGGACCTGGGGGACAAATGGACAGACAGTCACAGCTTCAGGGGCCGGATCAGCATGGCAGCCTTCTTGAGCGAGTAAGCCCCACCACGAAACTCGGCCCAGTAGACGCCATCCTGGTAGCGGCTACGGTAGTGGCCACCACGATGCCACACACCATTTAGGTTGGAGTGGGCACAGGCATGGTACCACCAGCCTCCCCGCTGGTACAGGGCACAGTTACCTGAAGAGAGAAAGAGTTCATGTCTTCTCACCAGAATAAAAGCCTCTACAAGCACCTCACTATTATAAGGCTTTTGCCAGGCATTCCTCACTTTCTTCTTCAGAGTAATAACCTTAATTCCTTCCTTATCCCCTTACCAAAGTACAAGTCACATTTTCCCTACCCTTTCTGCAGAGTAGGAGCTTTACCTCTCATTCCTTTATCAGCAAAAACAACATACTCCACTTCCTTTCTAGAATACAAGTCCTAGCTCTCAGCTCCCACCCACCCACCCTGCCACCTTTCACCAAGGCAGAAGTCCTAACTCTTTTACTGCCTTATCAGACAAGGAATCAGAACTTCCCATCCCCTCACCAGAATAAGAGTCCTGTCCTCTGTTCTCTTGCTCACCCTGATCCCTACCAGAGGGAAGTCTTATCCCACCCCATTTCATTCCCTCACCAGGAGCTCCCTATCCCCCTACCCCACCAGAATTAAGAGCTCCTTACCAGAATAGGAGTCTCGGTCCCTATCCACGGTGCTGAAAGGCTTGTCATTGTGCCAGGAAAGAGAGTCTCCAGCATCTCCATGGTACTGGCCAAGCCGTAGGCGGTAGTGGTCACTTTCAGGCTCCAGGGAGAAACCATCATAGTGGGCACGTGCCCCACGGCCTCCCCAGTCCTCAAGTAGCACCAGTAGCTCATGGTCCCCACGGCTAGTCAGCTGATGCACAGGTTCAAGGCCCAGCCAGTATTCCCCGTCAGGCTGCCCAAAGCCCACCTGGCAGGGCAGGAAAGTCAGAAAGTTGGGAGCAGGTCCCCTCCCCTGCCCAGTCCTGCCCCACCCACCTGTGCCCACCTTGTAGTGTTGCCAGGTAGTGAAGAAGTTAACGGAGCCATCCTGCCGCCTCTGGATCACAGTCCAGCCTCCACCCTCCAGCTGTTGCTCGCACCATGCTGACACCATATGCCTGCCCAGTTGCAGCTCATATACTCCGCTCTGTCCATGGCCTGCCTGGCGAGCCTCTGCACAATCCCGCCATGGGCCTGTGGGAACAGGGATATGGGAGAGGCACAGCCTGAACCAATCAACCCCTTATGGAATAAGAGTCCTGATTCTCGCTGGTCCCCTCACCAGAAGAGCAGTCCTGCCTCTTCCATTCCCTCACCAAAATAAGAGCCACAACACCCATTTACTTCCCTAAATAAGACTCTGTCACTCTTTTCTCACTAAAGCAAATGTGGAGACTGGGATTCTTAAATCTCCGTTCTGTGGTCTCCTCACCAGAATAGAGGCCCTGAACACGACACTCTGAACCCCCTCAAATTCTCACCAAAGTAGCAGTCCTAAATTCCCTATCCCTTCATCAAAATAAGACTAACCCTCCTGTTTTCACACCATAATAAGAATTTCGGTCTTTATTAGAATAAGAGCCATATCTCCCTGTTCCATCATCAGAATAAAAGCATCATTTCCTCCAGTCTCCTCATCCTGAGAGAAATCTGACATTAAAGTCCTGACTTGTATTTCCCTTTATTCATGCTGCACTGGGAATCTCCTGGCTCCTCACATCCACAACAGCCCAGCCCTTGTCTTACCCGCTGGCTTGGTAGGGACAGCAGGGTGCCCTGAGGGCATGGGAGAGGCCAAGGGCCCCTGCTGTCTCAGGGTCTGGTCTCTCTGGGGCTCTGGGGCTGGGTTTAGCCTCCGGCTGGTATCACTGGTACCACCCACCAGACTGACTGGAACCACAGGCACCAGGGGTGGTGGCAAGACCTGGAGTAACCAAGAGAGTTGGATGTGACTGCACTAACCATCAGCCCAAGAGGCTCTGGGCTCCTATATCTCCCAGCACCCAGACGGGAAGGAGATGAGTCAGGGGCATGGATAGATCCTCCCCATAAGCATAATTCCAGCTGTCAAGAAGAAACAGAGCTGGGCTTACTCCTGCTCTGGGGTTCATAGCTTAATGGATCTGTGCCTCCGAACTTTTCTGTAGAGTAGAGATAATGATATGAGTACCTCCAACATTTAGTATTAACTTTCTCAATCCTCCCAACAGCCCTGTAAGGTAGCTACCATCACAGAGAAACAATCTCTTATTAAAATCAAAGGCCAGACGTAACTCTAGAATTCAGAATAATATGGCAGGAGTTAGAAATAGTAACAACAGGGGCTACATGTATATTACGTAACATCCCCTACGGTCTTTGATCTTTGACCACAGAGTAATATGCTTGATTACAGGATCCTATGAGTATCTCATATATTAGGTGGACGAGTAAAGACTTTAAGTAGCCACCAGTCGCGTTTTGACCCAAATGAGTTATGGGGGAGAAGTAGGGATTCGTTTTTTTGGAGTTTTTTTGTATTCTGGAACTACAGGTAAGAGATCGTGGGATTTCAGGAGGCCTATCTTACAGACGATGCTTACAAGAAATGACTATGGTTTGGAGAGGGGAGTAGTTTCGCAGTTACCTGCTGCTGCCCGCCCGCACCCCCCGGGCACAGGCGCTCCAGGCGGGCGATGAGGCCACTCTGCTGGCTGACAAGTTGCGCCAGCTCGCGGAACTTGACGTCCAGCTGGTGAAAGCGAGCGGCGGCGCGCTGCGCCTCGGCGGACGCGTTAAGCACGCGCTCCCCAAGCAGCGCCAGCGCAGCGGCGGGCTCCGCCCCCGGGCCGGGCCCCGCCCCCGGGCCCGCCTCGTGCTGCAGCTGCGCGCGCAGCTGGCCCAGGCGCGCGCTCAAGCCGCGGCTTTCCTTGCGCAGCGCGCGCACCTCGCCGGCCACGGCGCCATCGGCCGTCGCCAGCCTCTGAAGTTCGCGCAGCAGTTCCTCGTGGCGGCTCACGCGCACGCGCAGCGCCGCCACTTCGCTGGCGTTGGCGGCTTCCGGCGCCGGGCGCGCGGCCGCCGGCCCGCTCCAGCACACGGCGCCCGTGAACTTCTGCGAGGGCAGCACGAAGGTGTAGGTGCAGCGCGGGGCGGCCGTGCGCGCCCACGACGCGCCCAGCAGGAGCAGCAGCTGCAGCGTGCGCAGCCTGGGCGCCCACATGGCGGACCTGCAGACAGAGGATGAGCGAGAAGGAGCGGGGGCCCCGGGAACCCAGGCTCGACCCGCGACCCTCAGGCCGGGCCAAACCCATCTGCTCCCACTTGGGAATGCGCATGTGTGCACTTGCGTGAATCTTGGTCTGTCCACACACGGCCGCCTCCATCCCTTTCTCTACCCTAAGGCTGGAGATACCCCAATAGGATCCAGCCCTGGCCTCGCCACTGCTGGACAGTATGTCCACGCGCCCTGCCAGACAGTATGTCTCGTGCATTCATTCAGCAAGCATTCATTGAGTGCTTACTGTATGCTGGCCTCAGTTCTAGCACAGGGAATACAGTTGGGAACAAAACACAAAAATCCTGGTCCTGATGAGCAAGCGACAAAATAGAGTTAGAATTAATAGAATGTATTAGATGGCCGTACATGCAAAAGATAACAGTAAAAGAGATTTAGGGTTATGTGCAAGGGCATTTGGAGAGAAGGGAGGAACTGAAGGAGGTGACAGTTTGGAACAAGGAACTGAAGGAGGTGACAGTTTGGAACAAAGACCTGAAGGAGGTGAGGGAGGAAACTACGGGGGTGTCTGAGAGAAAAGAGGTCCCTAGCAGGGGGAACAGAAAATGCAAAGGCCCTGAGGTTGGATCAGGCTTGACGTATTAAAGGAACCTCAAGGAGGCTGAAGCAGAAGCCATGGGAAAATGAGCGGGAGGGGGATCAGAAAAAAGTCTCACTAACTGAATCTAGTAGTGGGTACCCCATCTCCCATGTCCTCAAACCAAAACCCCTGAGTCATCTATGTATCCTCTTTATTCACGGCAGATCCAACCCATCAGCCAGCCCTGTCAGCTCTTGTGTTTAGATCCTGAATTCCTCCAATTCCCCCCATGCTCGCCTAGTCCCAGGATCCCAGCTCAAGACACCATCTGGATTTCCTTACAGCAGCTGCCTCCCAGGTCACCAGTCTTCGGTCTTCAACTTCTGTTCTGTTTCTCCCACGACGGCCAGAGGACGCCTGTGAACATGCAAGTCAGGTCACGTCCCTTCTCTGCTCAGGACCTCTGAGGCTTCCACCTCGCTGAGAGGAAAAGCCTAAGTCCTCCCTGTAGCCCACAAGGCCCTGCTAGCTCTGCCCAGTCCCCTCCCCGCCCTCACCTCCTCCCACTCACCCTCCTTGCTCTAGGCACTGTGGCCCCCTCCTTGTTCCTCAAACACACAAGGCACCTTGCAGCCTCAGGGCCTTTGCACTTGCTGTTTTCTCAGCCTGGAATATTTATCCCCAAATTTTAACATGGCTCCCTCTCTCTGCTTGTTCAGGTATCCACTGAGCTGTCTCCTCTCAGAAGCCCTCCCTAACGACCCCATTTAGTTGCCCCTCCCCAGCACTCCCTATCAGGAGCCGTCTTTTTCATTTAAGCATTTATCACTCTGCAGTGGTCTCATTTATTTGCCATTATTTATGATCTGAATTCCTCCACCAAAATATCAGCTCCCAGAGGCCACGTCTGGGTTTTGTTCACTGCTCTGTCCCCAGTGCCTAAAACAGAGCCTGATGCCATACACACATTCCACACCCCCCACCATCCACATGCCCCGCGTTGGCTGCACCCCCACCCAGGTGTTCCCTGTCTCCTACAGCTGAGCTCATACAAGTGTCTTCATTCAAAAGTGTGTACTTGTGGCCACCTACCCCCCAGCCTTGCAGTGTCCACACATCAGCCCCCATTATCTTCATTCCTGCGGTTCACACACTTGCAGTCTCTCGAGATGGGGAAGCACATCCCTCCTGAGTGCATGTGCCAACATTCAGAAGACATTCCACATGTCCATGTTAGCCCTGTCTGTACCATGTCCCACCATGTCCAAACCCACACAGACATGTGTCTTGCTGGCTTCACTATCACACACATTGCCTCATTCACACACTCAACGGGCATTCCTTAAGCCCCTTCGTTGGGTGCCAAAAGCTGTTCCAGGCAATGAGGACCCAGCTGCAACCAACACAGACAAAATCCCTGCCCTCATGGAGCTGACATCCTGCTTGGGAAGACAGATGGTGGGTATGTGAGAGGGTTGGGACCTGGGCTGGGGGTGCATTGTAAATAACAGGAGTCAGACCTCACTGAGAAGATGACGCCTGAGCAAAGACCTGAAGGAAGAGGGAGAAGGGGAAGAGCATTCAGGCAGAGGGAACAGCGAATGCAAAGGCCTTGAGGTAGGAACTAACTTGGTATGCCATGGAACAGCACGGAGGCCTGTGAGGCTGGAAGGGAATGAGTGAGGGGAAGAACAGGAGGTGGGGACAGGGAGGTGATGGAAGCAAAGTGTTCAGGGCCTTGTGGTCCTCCAGGAGGATCTGGGGTTTTCTTCTGTGTCATGTGGGAGCCATGGGGGATTCTGAGCTGGAAAAAGGTATACTCACTACGACATTCATACACCAAGCTCTAGCTCCCAAAGGCAGAGCAGGGTCCTCTCCTTCCCCCTCTTCAAAGACATCAGCCCCTCCACAGCAGGGGTGGACCAAACCCCTGGGAAACATCCTCTGCCTTCCAGGATCTCAGCCTGGGATAAGGAGGAGGAGGTCTGGGGAGCCCCCCAGCCAAAACAAGACCCAGGTTTCCCAACAGATTCAGCCTCTACCTGCCCTCCCACCCTCCTGCACTCTCACCTCTCGAGACCAAGACCCTGAGTTCAGCAAGGCCCGTAGCAAGGACAAGGCGTCCAAGGAGGAGCCGGGGGTCCAGTAGGGGCCTCTGAAGTGGGGAAAGAGAAGCCAGGGGGAGAGCAGGAGGGAGGAGTCTTGGTAACCACCCCTGGCCACCCAGAGTCGGGACTAGAGCTGTGATGCTGAGCCCAGGAGCTCCCACTGTAAATATTTAGCATTTCCCACATGAGAACTGGGGCAGAATTGCCAGACCCCCCTGCCCAGGCCACCAGAGCCTGATAACACAGTTCAGTGCCCTGGACGTTCCCCCGACAGTGAAGCAGAGAGCGTGGGAGGCTGGAGGCCCTGGGAGGCGGGGGGGATCCCAGACACACACACACACACACACACACACACACACACACACACAACAATAGCAAACATCAGAGGCACCTGCTGCCCGTCAGGCCTGACTCTAAACTCTCCATTTTGTATCTTGTTTAACCCTCACAACCTGAGCTGCCTTCTGTATGTAGCCACATTTTACAGCAGGAAAAACTGAGCCTCAGAGAGGGTGAGGAACTTGCCTGTGGTCACACAGCCAAAGAAAGGATCGACAATTGGAATTAGCCCAAGAAACATGGCTCCAGAAGTTGCACATGTGAACCACAACAGTCACACACACCTGACCTGTGGACACGTGACAGTGCAACACAAAGACACATACAGATACCCGATGAAACTTGCAAACCACTACACAAAGCAAAGACAGATGGACTCTGTGTGTATGTGTGTGTGTGCGTGTGCGTGTCCGTGGATTTGCCTGGCACAGGCACATATAAAGACACAAATGCAAACACAGCACAAATTTGGGCAGCAACTGTGTATTCAAAATGTGGTCACCCACACGCATACCACGACTTAAAGGAAAATATCCTGTGTGTTGAGTGTTGTCTGTGCGTCAGACACATCCACACCCAGGTACACGTGGTCACACACTGGCAAGCGCAGAGACACAAATCAGCTACACAGCAAGCCCCTGACATCCGCCGGCCACCCAGTGCAAGTTTCCATTATCTCCCACACACGGTCTCTCCTCACGCAGGTCAAGTCCTGCAGGGAAGGAAATAGCCATGCAATCGTATCTCACAGGTACAAAGTGACTCACAACTCACGTAGAGTCCCCACCAGAGTAGGGTCTCCGACTTGTAGGAAGGCCTCCCGGACCAGCAGACACACTTTCAGGGAGCAGTCTCCTTCTCCCAGTTCCTAATGTCCTGAACTCATACGTAACCCGAGTGGCCTCCCGGGCTGAAAGAGGAAATGGTCGTCCCAGATCCGAGACAGGCTGCCAGGCTGGGCTCCGGGCCTGGTCTGGGGCCCCCAACACTGGGCCCCTTGGCCCCCTACTCATAGCCCCCCCCAGCTTCCCGCATTGGCAGCAGAGGGAGAAGAAACCTCCTAAGTCAAGGAGACAGGCTGACCGAAGGGAGAGAGAGTCCGAGAGACAGAGAAGGAGAGACGTGGCGGAGATGGGGAGAGAGAAATGGGATAGGAACAGAGCAAGGAGAAAGATGGAAACTTACGAAGGAGACAACTGATGGCTGAGACAAAGCTGGGGAAAAAGAGGCAGATAGAAGACAACGATGGGGAGGGGGAGACAAAAACGGGAAGAAGAGGGGGGAGACTGATGGGAGAGGAGAGGCAAATTGGGGGGAGATCAATTGAGGGGGAAGCAAATGTGGGAGGGGAGACAGCTGGGGAGGGGCGGCAAATAGGGGAGAGGAGACAGATGGGGGAGGAAACAGATGAGACAGGGAGAGAGATGTTGGGGGGGGATCCCTTCCCCTCACCCCAAGGTTCTGGGGAAGAAGCCAGAGGCCTGAGGCCAAGGCTGGGGCTTTGAGTGGAAACTGGAAGGGGGTAAATTATTCACGAAGCACCCGCCTTGCCCTGAATTTCCAGAAGGTGATGTGGAGTTTCCATCTCTCAGCTCGTCGGCAGACAGGGCTGCCGCGGAGGACAGCTGGTCCTCAGGAGCTGGGGGCCCAAATGAATAACTGCCAAGGAGCTACTCCCTTCTCAGGCCCCCAAGTGCCTGGTGCCAATGTGCCAAGTATTGTGCATACATCATCTCTCTTAATTCGCGGGTCAAGGAGGAAATGATTATCATTCTCACTTTAGGATACTTTAGGAGCCTCGGAGTGGAGAAAGTGGCTCTTAAAATCCCACAGCTGGTGGAAATGGCCGAGGCGGGATTCGAACACGCGATCCAATTCTCCGACTCTCCCCATGTGGCGCGGCTCCGCCCCGGTTTCTGTAGAAACAGGCACTAGGTGTCTCCATAGCAACCCCTCTGGTGATGTCTCCCCCCCCCATACACCTGGTACGCATGCCCAGCCGATGACGTCATCGCGTAGCGGCGCCTGGCGTAACCATCTCGCGGGCGCCGGAAGTGAACGGTGAGGCGCCGGAAGTAGCCGGGCGAAGGGGCCGCGTGCAGGAGACAGCAACATGGGACAGTCCGGGCGGGTGAGGCGCGGCGCCCGGGGAGCGGGCAGCGCGGGTGG